TGACTGTGTAATAACTTCCTTTGATATGAAATGGATGACTGTGTAATAACTTCCTTTGGTACGAAATGGATGACTGTGTTATAACTTCCTTTGGTACGAAATGGATAACTGTGTAATATCTTCCTTTGGTACGAAATGGAGGACTGTGTAATAACTTTCTTTAATATGAAATGGATGACTGTTTAATAACTTCCTTTGGTATGAAATGAATAACTTCCTTTTGTACGAAATGGATGACTGTGTAATAAGTTTCTTTGATATGAAATGGATGACTGTGTAATAAGTTTCTTTGATATGAAATGGATGACTGTGTAATAAGTTTCTTTGATATGAAATGGATGACTGTGTAATAAGTTTATTTGATTTAATGGATTAGAAATGGATAACTGTAAGTTGTATCTCGCATTAGAAGTAGATGACTGTAATTTATATCTCGGATTAGAAAAGGATAACTGTAATTTATATCTCAGAAATCAGAATCTCGTTGAACTCTTGTTGATCTTGTTTATCATATTTCATATCATATATCAGATTAGAAATGGATAACTATAGTCAAAATGCTTTGTAATTTATTCCTCAAGCCTATCAGCCTTGGTGCTAATATTCCTGTGCATTTGAACTCAAACTGTGCATTCCCGGGTGTAAAAAGTCCATGCTTTTCCAGGGATTTCCATGGAAAATAAGAGGCTGGAGTATTGGAACAAAATTTTCCAACCTTTTCCAGCCTGAAGCTGAGAAAAAAATGGGCTGGAAAAACGGAAAAAACATGGAACATTTTCCATGCTGCATGGAATATTTTCCATGTTTTCCATGGAAAAGCATGGACTTTATTCCATGCTTTTCCATGTACATGGAGTATTGGAACAAAAGTATGGATTCTTTTCCAGGGTATTCCATGTGTCTGCCAACCATAGAGGCTGGACTTTTCACCATGGTAAATAGTCCAGCCTTGATGGAATAACATGGAAAAAATCCAGCCTAATTCCAGCATCCCTGAATGTTCTTAAAATGTAAAATTCTGAGATGGAATTTAGCACAGGAATGTTTGGGGTGGAATTTTTATGAGTTTAACATGATCACATATTTCATTTACAAAATTTAATACATATCATTTAGTCCAAATACAGAATAGAACAGCTTACATTCACTATAACACAAAAAGTTTTTTTCCAGCTGCAGGTTTGGTAGGTTCTGGTTTTCTTAAGAATCCAACACTTAGTTTTTAGAAATTATTTTGCTGTTAGTCTGTCAGGGAGAAACTGTTTCAATCTTAAATTTGTTTCAAGTGTTTCTGATTATTTAAATAACTATTTCTTTTATCAATGTCCATTTTTAGTCCTCTGCCTGTGTTTCCTGAACTTCTTGTGGTTGTGCTCACCTTTAAAGATAAAATTCATAATTAATTAAACACAGATGCAGTAATGAATTATGTTTTGTTGCACATATGCAGTTATATTTCATATCTTTTAATAACATCAAATCTAATGTTTCAACAGTCACCGACAATCAAATATTAACTATGCTTATGCATATTCAAAAATACTAAAGCAATGCAATAATATCTTATTTCAATGTGCACATTGAGTGCTTAAGAATTTCTCTGTATAAGAATTAAGTAAATTTGTGACAATATTTATTACCCAGTATGTATTTTTTCAAGAAAAGACATGGAATAAAAAAGTATTGAGATTAAAAAATATACCTTTTCAGGATTAATACTGCACATCATTATTAAACTTCTCACAGTCAGCAATAATGTCCCAGCCTGCAAATGTATAATGTAAAATGTAATTTTAGATTGTTCCATTGAAAACACAACACATACATGTAAAATAACAAATGGCTATGATGACCCTGTTCAGCTGTACAAAACTACTGATTGTACCATTTAGTCCTATTTAATCAAATTGATTTAATTTGTTAAATTTGCAGGAAATGAAAAAAAAACTACTAACATGTCATTTAAACAATATACACAATCATTATAAAGAAATCATTGAAAATTTATATTTTACAGATTATACATGTATAGATTGAAAACAATTATCAGAAAAACAAATGCATGAAGTTGAAAATATAAAAACAACCTTGATCTCTTGTTACAAATGTTGATAGTTTGATATATAACCAGTGTTTCTGCATTTATGTAACTTAAGGTTTATAAATACCTGATTCTGTTGTGTATCTCCTTGTCCCAGGTGATTCTGATTGTTATCATACCAAATACATAAATACTTTAAAATCTTAAACAAAACAATATCTTCAAAACTGCTAAAATATCAAGTACATCCTCTGTAACTTGCACTCTTTGCTGACCCAGATTCTTAGAATTCAAAATTTACAACAGTTACTGGACAGGTCTATCATTATGTAAAGCAGGGTTAATCTACTCATCATTTTAACTTTTATTCTTTGAGCGTAAAAGAAAATATCAAATAGCTAATTAATAGATATATAGATTTTAAAGATCATTACAAATTTTTGTACAAAAAAGATTGCATTGTCCTTCTAGACACATTCTGCATATGAATTTTATAATGCTATTTCTCCCCAAAATAATCACATGGAACAGCCTGATCTGTCGGAATGACCAGTGGAGTAAATTAGTCATACACAGATGGTAGGAAAATGCTAGTCAATGAGTTTTATCAGAGCTCTGATCTGTGAAGCGTAAAATCTCAGTGGATGAAGTATTTATTTTTCTAAATAAAAGCAATATATATTGATTAATTTAATATAGAATATATATGAGATTCTTTCATGCAGTGTTTTTGTTTTGTTTATTTATTGATTGTTATCCAAAAACATGAATTCTTAGAATTTAAAAATGGCAAGCAATGCAATCCCATCTTGATGATTAGTGTCTGAATGATTGAATCACAGACTTTAATTAATTTATAGTTAAACTGTAATTAAATGGATATTATTTCATTGTACATAACTTCATGTAGATTTATTTAAATAATAACATGTATTTAACAATCAATTCATTTATGTCTTTAGCATAGACATTTTTTCTGATATACCCTTTTCCAACTACATGAAATGTATAAAGTGTGAAATTTATTCTACATTCTAACACTATCGGAAATTTTCTATATATACAAAGAAGGCCCGAAGGGTGCATTATTCTAGAACAATGCACTCGCGGTTCTTATTATCTCCCTGTGTATTGTCACATTGAGGGCACCATTTTATTTGAAAAATTTGATAAATAATAAACATTTTTTGTCGAATTTTGTTGTGAAAACTATCTAGAATGAAAGAAAATGGTCTAACTAAGAAAATTAATCCGAATACCAATATCTTTAAATCAGTTGTTAACGCTGTACTGACGTTTAAAGTGTTGTTTACGTGACGTCACATTATGTAGCGCCAAACAGCACATGCAAAACAATCAAATCAAGAACGCTATTGTTATGTCGCAAACAAGTTAAGTTTTATATTTATTTCACTTTTAATAATTTGTATTTCGCTTGAAAAATTATAGAGTGAAATAAAATAAACAAACAAAATTTATATATAAACGTTTTCAAAATTCGTTATTCTCAAAATGTTTCTACACAGGGTAGATTTAACGACAGTTTTTTTCAACCCACTGGAACAACCTTTAAAGAACGTTTCTATTGGAAACTCTGAGGCGAAAACAAATTTAATCACCAAACAAAGTCCAACTTTATAATGATAATTATATTTTTTCTTGACGTGTAAGAATGGAAATAGATATTAATTCTTCGTGCATTATTTAAGAAATAATTATTATATCCCAAACTGTGATTTTATTGCTCAATAACATCACTGTTTGGAGTTCGGATGCGGGGAATTATATCACGAGGGCGTAGGCCTATCGGCCTTCGTGATTATATTACTACGCATTTGAACTCAAACCGTGCATTATTCTACAACAATGCACTCAGAATTGATATCTATTTCCTAATTCTAACACGACCCGCATTTCCCCCATTGAACACAGAAGAACCAAAAGTGTGTGTTATTGTGCAATAAAATCACAGTTTGACGTTCTATATTTGACATGTGACGTAATCATGATACATGTGACGTAACCACTAAAAATGTGACAAGCTGAAAATAAGTACGGAAACAAATCAGGTGCAATATAGGTTAATATCAGGTACAGCAGCATTTATTTGTTGATGTTGTGTTAGAATCTAAATAATATATCCAAAACAGTGATTTAATCGCTTGAATATGTTTTGGATATGTTATTTCTTAATTCTAACACAACCCGCATTTTTCCCAATTGAACATAGAAGAACTGAATTTATTACATGCTTTTCGGTGGTTTATAGAAATATATCAGTGAAATAAAAACTGATAATTCACTGTTTTAAACAGTGAAATTATCAATTTGATAATTTCACTGTTTTGAATATTTGAGCCCGGTACGTTGTTTCAGTGAAATACAAGCGTTCACAATAATGGAAACCAAATTAAAGACGTGACGTCATAAATGACGTCACGTTGTATTATTATTTGGCGCCCTTTTCATTTAGTACTATGCTTAAATGTCTTTTTAAATGTTTCTTTGCATATAATAAAAAGAAAATTTGTTTAGTTTAGTGTAAGATCGAAATTTATTACATGCTTTTCGGTGGTTTATAGAAAAATATCAGTGACATAAAACTGGTAATTTCACTGTTTGAAACAGTGAAATTACCACTTTGATAATTTCACTGTTTTGAATTTAAGCCCCTTACGTTGTTTCAGTGAAATACCAGCGTGCACAGAACTGAGTACCAACTTAATGACGTGACGTCGTAAATGACGTCACGTTATATTATTATTTGGCGCGCTATTCATTCAGTATAATGTTTAATGTCTTTTTAAAAACGTTTCTCTGCATATAATAAAAAGAAAATTTGTTTAGTTTAGTGTAAGATCAAATATATTTCACCTTGTGAACACCAAAAGTTCATATTTCACTCGTGGCTGCGCCATGACTACCAATTGATGACGTCACAGTTTATTTGACGTCATGACAATTTAATTGTCATTGTGAATCAAAAGGCTGTTGAGACTGGATGGACATATTTATTTTCTGTTTATTTTAGTTTATGTAGAATTGAGTTCTTTTATTTAGGGAATTAATGCAAATATGGTTTATAATTTACGCAGTATTGGAATGTCTTTGATAGGAAATGTTGGTAAGTTGAACTTTATTTCATTAAATAACAAAAGCATGTGAGTGATGTGGGTGGTTTTAGCTTTGACCCAATGTTTTTATAGTTAGAGGTACATGTAGAATAATTCAGATCATAAAAGATAAATAATTGTGTAATAACTTCCTTTGGTACGAAATTGATGACTGGGTAATAACTTTCTTTGATATGAAATGGATGACTTTGTAATAACTTCCTTTGGTAGGAAATGGATGACTGTGTAATAAATTCCTTTTGTTCGAAGTGTTTAAAGAACCCAAAGAGCTAGAGCTAGATATTTGGCATGAAACATCTTCTAATGAGTGTCTACCAAGTTTGTTCAAATAAAAGCCCTGGGGTCAAAATTGGCCCCGCCCCAGGGGGTCATTGATTTTCCCTATATGCATATAGTAAAAACTTAAAAAATCTTCTTTTAAAGAACCCAAAGAGTTAGAGCTAAGATATGTAGCATGAAACATGTTCTAATGGGTGTCTACCAAGTTTGTTCAAATAAAAGCCCTGGGGTCAAAATTGGCCCCGCCCCATGGGGTCATTGATTTTCCCTATATGCATATTGTAAAAACTTAAAAAATCTTCTTTTAAAGAACCCAAAGAGCTAGAGCTAAGATATTTAGCATGAAACATCTTCTAGTGAGTGTCTACCAAGTTTGTTCAAATAAAAGCCCTGGGTCAAAATTGGCCCCGCACCAGGGAGGTCATTGATTTTCCCTATATGCATATAGTAAAAACTTTGAAAAATCTTCTTTTAAAGAACTCAAAGAGCTAGAGCTAAGATATTTAGCATGAAACATGTTCTAATGGGTGTCTACTAAGTTTGATCAAATAAAAGCCCTGGGGTCAAAATTGGCCCTGCCCCGGGGGTCATTGATTTTCCTTATATGTGTATAGCAAAAACTTAAAAAACCTTCTTTGAAAAAATCCCAAATAGCTAGAGTTAAGATATTAAGCATGAAACATCTTCTAGTAAGTGTCTACAAAGTTTGTTCAAATTAAAGCCCTGGGGTCAAAATTGATTGGCCCCGCCCCGGGGGTCATTGAATTCCTTATATGTGTATAGCAAAAACTTTAAAAATCTTCTTTGAAAAAACCCAAATAGCTAGAGTTTAGATATTAAGCAATATGAAACATCTTCTAATAAGTGTCTACAAAGTTTGTTCAAATAAAAGCCCTGGGGTCAAAACTGCCCCCGCCCCAGGGGTGTCATTGTTTTTAACTATATGTGTATAGTAAAAACTTAAAAAATCTTCTTTTAAAAAACCCAATGAGCTAGAGCTTAGATGTTTAGCATGAAACATCTTCTTATGGGTGTCTACCAAGTTTGTTCAAATAAAAGCCCTTGGGTTAAAATTAATTCTAACATCATGAAACATCTTCTAATGGGTGTCTTAATTCCAAGTTTGTTCAAATAAAAGCCCTGGGGTTTAAACTGGCCCCGCTTCGGGAGCCTATATACAGGTGAGCGACCTCAGGGCCATCCTGGCCCTCTTGTTAATTATCTCCCCTTATAGAAAAATCTTGTCCAGGGCATAACTCTAAAACTATAAGAGATATCAACATAAAACTTTGTAGGTGAATAGATCTCAATGGGTAGATATGCAGTGCATAAGAACAATAACTCTTTGTCCTAATTTTGGAGTTATTGCCCTTTGTTAATTTTAACACTGAACTTTGACCGGAACATAACTCTGAAATTATAAGAGATATCAAGATGAAACATTGTAGGTAGATAGATCTCATTGAGTAGAAGTGCATTGAAAAAAACCATAACTCTGTTAAGCCTCATTTTTGAATTATCTCCCCTTTTAGAAAAATCTTGTACTGGACATAGCTGTAAAACTATAAGAGATATCAACACGAAACTTTGTAGGTAGATGTATCTCAATGGGTAGATGTGCAGTGCATGAGAATCATAACTCTGCCTTGCCTAATTCTGGAGTTATTGCCATTTGTTTATTTTTACTTTTTGAATTTGTCCAGAACAAAACTCGGAAACCATAAGAGATATCAACAAGAAACTTTGTAAGTTGATAGATAACAGTGATTAGAAGTGTAGTGGAAAGAACAGTAACTCTGCCTTTCCTAATTTTGGAATTATTGCACTTTGAACTTTTTCCAGGGACATAACTCTGAAACTACAAGAGGTGTACTTTCCTGTGTCCAAAACCTATTCGGGGAGCATCACCCGGCTTAAACTGGGCTCTTGTGTGGGGTTTCATATTGTGGTATCAGGGAATGTGTTTTTATGTTTGACTATGATACAAAAGAGAAAGAACATCAAAACACTCTGCAATCTGATTTATACTCGGGGGTGAGGGGGGGGGGATAACTCGTACAAATCAGATAGCCTCGTGTTTCGATGCTCTTTCTATTACTTATACTGCCACTTCAGACACACTTTCTTAGAATGGCAATAGTTGGTAATCGTATTGTTTTAATCACAACATTTCTTGTCAAATGTATTGAAAATTGTTGGCAGTCAGGTTATTTTATTTACTTTTTTTCTCCTTGTTTTTCTTTTCTATTTTATATATTTGTCACGTTAACATTTGAACTTTTAAATTTTAGCGATCTGGAAAAAAATTATAGTGCCCGCTCAATAAACCAGATGACAGCAAACGGGAAAATTACTTCTACGCTCAATATTGTTCAACATATTTTTATCAACTTTTTTTTTTCATTAGCATGTTAGACTGGAAATAGAAATCAATTTTTCTTTAGTAGAATCTAGTAGTATATAATAATGCAATGGTTTATCATTTTAATGCTTTGTAATTAATCACTCAGGCCTTTTTGTGATTATATTCCTATGCATTTGTTCAACATGAACTCTACATAAGAATTCTGCAACAATTTGAGCACAATTGATATTGGTTTTCAAAACAACGAACTTAAAATCTATTTTTCGAATATATTTGAAATGAAAAAATATCTATATTTATCACACACCCGTGTCGTTTTTGCGACTCCGTAAAAATGGTATTGCTGGGCCATGCATATTTTTTGAAGTGACGTCATTTGCGTTATATGAACATAGCGTTAAGACGCGCTAAATGTAATCGTTATACTAAAGGCGTGTCAATGAAAAATGTTTCTTTATCATTTCAAATGGTCTTTATTTTTTGTAAGTGATAAATAGAATATTCTAACACGACCCACATTTTTCCCTATTGAACTTAGAAGAACAGAAAGTGTGTGTTATTATGCTATAAAATCACTGTTTGACGTTCTATATTTAGACATAATACATAATCATTATACATATGACGTAACCACTAAAAATGTGACACGCTGACGATAAGTACGGAAACAAATCAGGTGCAATTTAGCTTAAGTTAGAATCGAAATAATATATCCAAATCGGTGATTTTATTGCTCAATAAAATCACTGTTTGTCGTATATATTATTTGTTAATTGAATTTGTGTAAGTTTATTACTAAATTTATTGAACTAGTTGAATAAAATAATATGCTAGCCAGAGGCTCACATAATATAATTTTATTCAACTTGTTCAATAAATTCAGTATTAAACTTACACCCATATCTATTTATCACATACCAGCGCCGCTTTTGCAACTCCGTGAAAATGGTACTGCACAGCTGTGCATATATTTTGACGTGACGTGATTTGCGTTACACAAACATAGTGTAAAGACATGCTAAATGTTAGTGTTAAACTGTAGGCGGGTCAATGAAAAATTACTCTTTTTCACTTTAAATGGCTTTTATTTTGGTATGTGATAAAAAAGAAAATTAAATTCATGTAAGTTCATTTAATACTTAATTTATTGAACTCGTTGAATAGAATAATTTATTACATGCTTTTCGGTGGTTTATAAAAATATATCAGTGAAATAAAACTGGTAATTTCACTGTTTGAAACAGTGAAATTACCACTTTGATAATTTCACTGTTTTGAATTTAAGCCCCTTATGTTGTTTCAGTGAAATACCAGCGTGCACAGTACTGGGTACCAACTTAATGACGTGACGTCATAAATTACATCACGTTGTATTATTATTTGGCGCGCTTTCCATTCAGTATTAGGTTTAATGTCTTTTTAAAACGTTTCTTTGCATGTAATAAAAAGAAAATTTGTTTAGTTTAGTGTAAGATCGAAATATATTTCACCTTGTGCCACTCGTGAAATATACCTTTTGGTGCTCACTCGGTGAAATAAATTCCGATCTTACACTGAACTAAACAAATATCCTCTATATTATTTTTATTCAACTTGTTCTATATATTCAGTATTGAGCCTATACTCATTCAATATCTTCTATATATTCATCAAATAAGCTCCAAATATCACCTGACGTCATGACTACCATTTTTGATGACATCACAATATAAGTGACGTCATAACAACTTGTGTTGTCACTGTGAATCAAAGGGCTGTTGAGACTGGATGAACACGTTTATCTTCTGTTAATTATACTTTTTGTTCTGATATTTAAGAATTTAAGTTGATTTAAATATGGTTTATAATTTACGCAGTATTGGAATGTCTTTAATAAAAGATGCTGGTAAGTTAAAATTAAAGTATTTGGTTTAATTGCACAAGCCTGTTGTGTTAGTAGTTTAATCTTTGACCCAAGATTCTTGTTGTTAGATGTATGACTGGAATAATTTATGTGTCAAATCATAAGATATAAAATTCTAATGAATGTGTAATAATTTTCTTTGATTAGAAATAAATGACTTTGTAATAACTTTCTTTTATAAGAAATAGGTGACTATGTAATAACTTTCTTTGATAAGAAATAGGTGACTGTGTAATTAATTTCTTTGATAAGAGATAGGTGACTGTATAATTAATTTCTTTGATAAGAGATAGGTGACTGTATAATTAATTTCTTTGATAAGAGATAGGTGACTGTATAATAAATTTCTTTGATAAGAGATAGGTGACTGTATAATAAATTTCTTTGATTAGAAATAAATGACTTTGTAATAACTTTCTTTTATAAGAAATAGGTGACTATGTAATAACTTTCTTTGATAAGAAATAGGTGACTGTGTAATAAATTTCTTTGATAAGAGATAGGTGACTGTGTAATAACTTTCTTTGATAAGAAATAGGTGACTGTGTAATAAATTTCTTTGATAAGAGATAGGTGACTGTATAATTAATTTCTTTGATAAGAAATAGGTGACTGTGTAATAAATTTCTTTGATAAGAGATAGGTGACTGTATAATTAATTTCTTTGATAAGAAATAGGTGACTGTGTAATAAATTTCTTTGATAAGAGATATGTGACTGTTGTAATAAATTTCTTTGATAAGAGATAGGTGACTGTGTAATAAATTTCTCTGATAATAGATAGGTGACTGTATAATTAATTTCTTTGATAAGAAATAGGTGACTGTGTAATAAATTTCTTTGATAAGAGATAGGTGACTGTATAATTAATTTCTTTGATAAGAAATAGTTGACTGTGTAATAAATTTCTTTGATAAGAGATAGGTGACTGTATAATTAATTTCTTTGATAAGAAATAGGTGACTGTGTAATAAATTTCTTTGATAAGAGATAGGTGACTGTGTAATAACTTTCTTTGATAAGAAATAGGTGACTGTGTAATAAATTTCTCTGATAATAGATAGGTGACTGTATAATTAATTTCTTTGATAAGAGATAGGTGACTGTGTAATAAATTTCTCTGATAATAGATTGGTGACTGTATAATTAATTTCTTTGATAAGAGATAGGTGACTGTGTAATAAATTTCTTTGATAAGAGATAGGTGACTGTATAATTAATTTCTTTGATAAGAAATAGGTGACTGTGTAATAAATTTCTTTGATAAGAGATAGGTGACTGTATAATTAATTTCTTTGATAAGAAATAGGTGACTGTGTAATAAATTTCTTTTGATAAGAGATAGGTGACTGTATAATTAATTTCTTTGATAAGAAATAGGTGACTGTGTAATAAATTTCTTTGATTAGAGATAGGTGACTGTGTAATAAATTTCTTTGATAAGAGATAGGTGACTGTGTAATTAATTTCTTTGATAAGAGATAGGTGACTGTGTAATAAATTTCTTTGATAAGAAATAGGTGACTGTGTAATAAATTTCTTTGATAAGAGATAGGTGACTGTGTAATTAATTTCTTTGATAAGAAATAGGTGACTGTGTAATAAATTTCTTTGATAAGAGATAGGTGACTGTGTAATAAATTTCTTTGATAAGAGATAGGTGACTGTGTAATAAATTTCTTTGATAAGAGATAGGTGACTGTATAATTAATTTCTTGATAAGAATAGGTGACTGTGTAATAAATTTCTTTGATCAGAGATAGGTGACTGTATAATTAATTTCTTTGATAAGAAATAGGTGACTGTGTAATAAATTTCTTTGATAAGAGATAGGTGACTGTGTAATAAATTTCTTTGATAACAGATAGGTGACTGTATAATTAATTTCTTTGATAAGAAATAGGTGACTATTTTTTAACAAAAAAGTAGGAAGAGGAGAGGAAATGAATTTATTATGACTCACAATCAATGTGTGACTTTAACTTTTAAATATATTATTTTATGAAATATATTATTTTATAAATATTTATATTATTTCCTGTATGTAATGATTTCCTTAAAAACTAAAATTATGTTGAACTATTAAAAATACCTGTGCAAGTCTTTTACAAATTAAACTCTGTGACATACTTTTTTTGTGAAATAGAAAATTGGAATATTTTATGTAGAAATACAAGTATATTATGTGTTATAAGTGCCTTACACTGGCTGCTTAAGTTATAAAGACCTTGACTTTCTCTCTCTTTCCACAGACTACCAAAATATTTGTTTGGGCAAGCATATGTGCAGATGAGATTTGTGTTTATCTCAGTTTTGCCAGGGTAACATTTTGAGGTGTCTGAAAGAATCATGAAAGTGTGTATGAGGTTACATTGTTGAGTACAAAACTGAATTCTATTCAACAAGTCTAATAGAATCAGTATTGTTCTCATCCATGTTTAATGACCTCTCTATTTCACACCACCATTTTTAACTTGACTCTTTTAAAGAAAAAAAGGGCTATTGCTACAGCCGTTGACATTGCTGTTGCCTTTGTCGACGCCTGTCTAATAACTTTAAAGTTGGTCATAATTTTTTATTTCTAAATGGATTGCCTTCGTTCTTGGACAAAACAACCCTTTGGACAAGACCTTCAAGTTGATCAGATTGAACTTAACCTTTACTCATAAATTAGCTTGACCTACAACGTCAAATATTGAAATTAGTTTGATTTTTACTATAATTGGCTATAACTTTGTTATTTATGAATGGATATTCTCCATACTTGTACAGTAATCCTTAAGACCAGACCTCTCTGGAGACCAAATTGATTATGACCTTCACACATCAATGATTTTGACCTTAAAAGTAAAAAAAAAATATGGTTTTCTGTATTCAAGCATTTACACCCCAAAGTATTTGTGATGTTACTAGATGGGAGTTAAAGAAGGGATTATAAAATCTCATTTTTAGCCCAATGTTTATGTTACACTTACACAGTTAACCAGAGGCTTAGATTACAGAGCTCTGAGTGTTAACAAATAACATCAATGGGTTAAAAAAAACATTTCACTCATTATATAATATAGACATTGATATGTCATTAAACACTTAAATCAATCTACATTATGTCATAAAACACTGTTACAGCCCATTATGTCATAAAACACTGATCAAACACAATTATTTCAACACTTTTATTATTAAGATAACATAAGTTTATTATTCACCTTAGAAATTTTACATATTGCAGGTGATAGTGGCTGCTCCGCTAGACCTGATGACGGGGGTATTAGAAACTTGAAGGGTTCTATAGATACTGCAAGTACATCCAGCCTCAACAACCCAACTACAAACCAGTCCTTTCATCCAGCCAATCAGGATGCAGCTTTCATATCATATCCCTGCCAAAACACCAATCAGAACCATGCATCTGATACGTATGTTTCTTTAATGTCTTCATTTGAGGAAGATAGAAGTTCAAAATACAAAAGACGCAAACAGATTAAACAAGACAGAATAATGGAATCACACAATGAATCGGTGATAAATTTGGACTCCAGCCTGGAGGTAACAATCTTGGATATCAGTAACAATTCAACACCTAGTGATTCAAACAGTACAATAAATTCTATCACCACAGAGACTGATAGCAAATTAGTTTGCACAATTTTGAACTGTGCTGCTGAGTTTTCATCTGTATCAGGTTTAGAGAATCACATGGAGCTGTTTAAGCATTCACCATGCAACCCGTGCCTGTTGACCAAGGACTGTAGACTGGCTGACAGTCCATTATGCTTTATGTGTCCAGAATGTGATCTAGAATTTTCAACTCGGGACGAGTGTTCCGAGCATATTAATAGAAGGAAGCACCTGACATTTTTCCCTCCACTTGCAATAACAGCTTATATGTGTCCGCAGTGTCTGCATCTGTTTGGAAGTTTGGAGGAGTGCTGGACACACATTGAGAAACAGTCCCACCATGGAATATCCTATCCTTTTGCAAGTAAGTTCAGTGATTTTTTTTATCTTGTATAACAGAGCCTCTATTTGAAAGGCCTTTTCCCAATTAAAATTTTCTTTAAAATTGTTTTCCAAAAAATCTGAACTTATACCAACTTTTTTACTTCCCAAATTAGCAATTGTACTGGAAATTCTTCTCAAAATTAAGAGGCTAAGGCCTCTTCCCAATTAATTGTGAAATACCACTGATGTAATTATGTAAAAGTAGTAATTTTATGGTAGAAATTATAATTCACTCCAGTCAAGTATAAATTGAGTTTGCAATTTTTGAAGTTTGACTTATTCATATCATCAAAAATCCATTTCATAGATTGAAATATACACAACATACCAAGCAAGGTAGACTGAATGTACATAAGGAAGTAAATTAAATGCCATTAATAATTATGCTTCAGCTTTCCCAGTCACTGTCTTTAAATATTATTTGTAAAAGAATCCAATTAATGTTTCTTTACAAAATGAACAAGACTCAAGGGCAAAAATCAAATTTTATACATGATTTTAAAATTTATCTGCTGTTTGTATATGGTATTTTGTCAAAGTAAAAAAAAAGAATGTTATTTTAAACACTTTTGGTTGGAATGAATTCAAACGCTGAATAAAATATAAAAAATATGGGATATGAAATGAATATGAAAAATATCTTCCACAGAAGTGAGAAAATAGCCACATTTTCATCAGTTGCTATACAAGTTTTCTTTGGCTGAATTGGCAAATAATTTTTTTTCATTTACTAATTTGTTTTTTGGCTTGGCTCTTCTTGGAAAAAGCAACACATGAGTAATTTAGTTATGCAAATATATGACCTTGACCTTTAAATGATCTTGACCATCAAGGTCAAATTACTAAATTTTGTTTATTTCTTTTATTACTCTTATTTATTTACGGATTTCATTCATACTTGGAGAAACAACCCTTATGATAAAACCCAAATGTCGAATAGTTCACATTTGACCTTGACTTTTTAATGACCTAGACGGCAAGGTCAATTATAAGAATTTTGTTAAAATTGTTATAACTTTGTTATTTATCACAGATTTTATTCATTCTTAGTCTAAAGACTACGTATGACAAAACCAACATGTTGAATAATTTGATATGACATTGATTTTTAAAGAACCTTGACCATAAAGTTCAAATTACTGAATTTTGCTTAATGATCATAATTTTGTAATTATTTACAGATTTATTTCAGAATTCTTATGACGAAATGTACTTGATAAATAATTCAAATTTGACCACAATGTTTAAATTTCTGTCATGATCAAGGTCAAATTATTAATTTTCTTAGATTGTGTTTAAGAAATAATATATCCCAAACTGTGATTTTATTGCTCAATAACATCACTGTTTGGAGTTCGGATGTGGGGAATTATATCACGAGGGCGTAGCCCGAGTGATATAATGATGCGCATCCCAACAACAAACAGTGATGTTATCAAGCAATATTATAAAATCACCGATTTGAATATATTATTTTGATTCCAACACAACATCAGCAAATAAATGCTACCGTACCTGATATTTAGCTAATTTGCGCCTGATTTGTTTCCGTACTTATTGTCAGCATGTCACATTTTTAGTGGTTACGTCGCATGTATAATGATTACATCACATGTCTAAATATAGAACGTCAAATAGTTTCAAGGTTATTGTAATGTAATTCTAGGCCATCGGCCCAAATACACAATAATAACAGAAAGATACATATACATCTGATTGTGTCACAAGTTATGAAATACAAAATAGTAGCATATTCCATAATTTTTAACATTGTACAACAAGGTAGAGAATATACATATTACCACAACCCTTAATGTTAAACACGCAGTATCAAGTTCCAAAAATGAAAAAAAATAAAATAATACAAAAGCTAGTCCTTTTAATGCATGAAAAAAGAGAAAGAAAATCTTTTGTTTTAAAACACTATACAATAGACATTCATGTAATATTCTAGAAAAAAAAATTATTTGAAACTAATCAATTCTTATCAATATCAGTCATATTTATTAGTTTGGTTACATACAATGCTAAACTTTTTAATGTAGGATGATATTCGGTTTTCATTAAGTATGAGAAATTAACTGGTTCTAGTCTTCCCTTATACCAATTAAACAGATATTGTTGTCTTATACTATCAAACTTTGGACAAATAAAAAAGGCATCATATTCATTTTCAATAACTAAACAGTTACTATTGATAAAACAGTATGGACATATTCTATCTGATCTCTCAATACCATAATGGCGCCCAATTTCTATGTTTAACCTATGATTTGAACATCTGAAACGCGCCAGTGATTTCCTAAAAGGAAATGGCAGTTCCATAGTTAAATATTGTTCAACATTCAATAAAGATTTAAATGTAGTATATGTATCACATCTAGTAGAGGAATGGATGTCGTCAGACCAATTTTGTTCCAGACAGTCAGCAATACGTTGTTTAAAAGAAAATATAAACATATTAAAATCTCCCATATCTTGGTTTATCCAAACATAACCATAACCGTATTTGTATAAAAGTTCGCGTACATGTGTAACCCAGTTTTTTCTCCCTATATTATCTTGCAACTTTAACATATTGTAACAGCTTCTTGGATAAAGCGTCACTGGCATCTGTAAAAGTTTACACCAATATTTGATGCATTTAATGTAGTAAATTGAGCATAACGGAAGACGACCACATTCACCTATAATGCCATACTATTGTTTACGGAATCGTTCACACCTAAAAAGTATCTACAAAATTCAATTTGCACTTTTTCTATTTTGGGTGAATACGAATGACCCCAAATTTCTGCTCCGTATGTCAATATCGGAACTATCATGGAATCGAACAACTTAAAGATATCTTGATGTGAGAATTGACCAAATGAAATTTGATAACGTCTGATTGCAAATATGGCTTTTCTAGGCTGTGCAGCTAGCCTACATTTTGCGGTAGTCCAAATTAATTTTGGGGTAAATAAAAGACCCATGTACTTATATATCGAAGTTACGTTTACTTTAGAGCCATTGAATGTCCATTTTTCAGAATGACGTAGAGGACCGCCGTTACGAATTTTATACCATAATAACACACACTTTCGGTTCCTCTATGTTCATTAGGGAAAAATGCGGGTCGTGTTAGAATAACTTTTAAAGTCTGTATTTTATCTTTATTCTGTGTGCAGAAATTTTAGCAGTTAAAATAAGACAATGTAAAGATGTTAAAGGTATAAAAATAGATGGCGAGGAATATAAAATATCTCAGTTTGCGGACGATACATCACTACTTTTGGATGGTTCAGAAAAATCACTTAATACTGCTTTAAATTTGTTAAATAAATTTACAGAAATTTCAGGTTTAAAGATAAATTTTGACAAAACTAAGATTATTTGGATAGGCTCTCTTAAATATAGTACTAGATCAATTAAGACAAGGTGGAAACTAACATGGGGTGACACACAGTTTTAACTGTTATGATTAACTTTTGATGTTAATTTAGAAAAAATGATTGATCTAAATTTTGATGAAAAGCTGCAGAAAGTAAAAAATAGTATTAGTCATTGGAAAAAAAGGGTATTAACTCCACTAGGAAAAATCACTGTTGTTAAGTCAATATTGCTTCCTTTATTACAAGCCTACCTACACCGAATACAGTTTTTTTTGAAAACACTTAATGATTTATTTTATGATTTCATATGGGAAGGTAAGGCAAAAATTAAACAATCTGTAATCATTAAAATATACAAAGAAGGTGGTCTTAACATGGTAGATATTAGTAGTTATGTTCATTCTTTAAAAATAAAATGGCTTAAAAGATATGTTAGCAATTGTGATAGTAAATGTTATAAGTTTGTGAACTCATTGTTTAATATTGATAAAGTTTTTAATTTTGGAAAAATGTATTGTATGTTTATTAATAATAAGATTAAGAATGCTTTCTGGATTGATGTTTTGAAAGCTTACATGATCTTTGTTGATAAACTTTGTATAGATAACTTCGAACAAATATTACATATGCCACTGTTTTATTACCATGGCTTTTCAATAGGACATAGATATATCTACATTAAATCTTTTTATGACAAAGGAATAAGATTTGTGAAAGATATTCTTAATGAACAAGGTGATTTTTTTGAGTTTAATCTTTTAGAACAGTGTATAGGCAAACAAGTTAATTTTTTAGAATAATTATCATGGTTTAAAACAGTCTTTAAAATCTTACATGCTAAAGCTAAATATTACCCTTAATACTGATTTGCTAAATATTCAATATCCTATTGTAAACTGTTTTATCAAACCTATTATTATTACAAATAGCAATAAGAAATACCTGTATGAAACTTTTGTTAAAAATACAGATGTACCAACAAGTAAGGAAAAATGGAACACATACTTTATAGATAATAATATAAACTGGCCATTGATATGTAGTTATGTATTTAAATGTACCAAAGATTCATACATTCAGTGGTTTCAGACTAGAATAATTCACATAACTTTAGCAACAAACTCAATGCTGTTTAAAATGAAAATTGTTGATATTTCTGTAACTGTCAAGAAGAAACACTTATACATTTATTTTGGGAATGTCAAAAAATTCAGTCTCTATTTCAATATTTGCAAAGTAACATACATAATTTTGACAATATTTTCAACTGTAAATCTTTTATTTTAGGTTCTGAAGATAAGGACTTCGAATATGATATATTGTTTTTAGAATTGAAAAAATACATATATTTGTCTAAGAGAAAAAAATTGTTACCCACATGTATTGGCTTAAAAATAGCCTTAAATTAGCCTGGACTATTTACAAAAATACCAATTTGACTGACACTGAAATTAAAAGATGGCAAATTGTAAGATTATTAATCGAATAAATTACACTGACATTCTATATTTATGTTAGGTTCTCTTTTGTTTACTTACAATACATGTGTAAAATATACTATTTGTATGCTTCAATTATAATGTTAATATGATAAAATTTAAGGTATATTAAGATATTGTGTTTGTAAATATTACAATGTGATATACATGTATAATTAATGTAAGGTTTGTGGGGGATGACCCCGACCCTCTCATACCTATTACAGGGTGAATAAACTGGGATACCCAGTTGGGGCCTCAAAAAAAAAAACAACAAAAAAACAAAAAACTTTTAAAGTCTGTTATTTATGGATTTGATTCATACTTGGACAAAATGTCACTTTCTTATTAATTGGAGATCTAAATCAGTTTATTGAACTTTGACTTAAGGTATTAGCACCCTAATGCATTACCTCCGCTTTGAAGAGTATTCAAATAGGCTAGGGGGGCCATGGGTTCAATCCCCAGAAGGGTCAACTTTTTTTTTCTTTCTTTTTTTCTTTTAACATTATTTATGTATCTCTCATGTCCCATTTGGAAAGAAAAAAGTGTTTAATTTTGATTTTTAAATTTATATAGGTATTTATTGGCTAAATTATGCTAAATCTAGTAATAAATATGGTACCTGATTTTTTCAAAGTGTAATATAATCAAAACTAGACGGTAAAAGTATTTCATATTTAACAAGATCAACCAATATACTTTTTTAAAAATTTAGGGAAACTTTGAAAACAGGCACTCATTTGAGTAAATTTTAAGAATTTTTTTAATTAGGCTCCCTAAGTAGAAAAATGGTCAGACACGTGGTAAAAATGGGTGGGGTAGGGTAACATTTTTATACAGATTTCATAAATTATAAGTAGAATCCATAATTTTGCTTATGTGGATTGTTAGCTGAATGGTACTATTTGTTTCTTACCAAAAATTAATGGGAAAACATTTTTCATTACAATGTTATTGCAGATTATTTAAAGGTTCCTCATTTCTAAAAAAGGACCCTCACTACATCCTAGCTTGAGTTCAGAAAAGTGGCCATAACTTGATTTCCGTACGGTAAACTTTGTTTAAATTTTACATACAGGTGTACTTTAAGGTATACATCTGACCTATGATGTCAATTTTTTAGTTCCTGATAGTGCCCATTAGGGTCCTAATACCTTAAGATTGATAACTTTATCATTTATTTACTTGATTTGATTCATACTTTGACAAAGTAACACTTATTGCAAAACTGTTGCGTTAAATTATTCAAGTCCTTGAAAGTGACCTTGACCCGATGATCATGGTTTTGTTTGTCATAACTTTGATATAAATTATATTTTGTAGACTTGATTTATACCCAGGGACAAAACATTACTAATAACAACACCAACTTGTTAAATAATTTTAGTATAACCTTGACCTGTTAATGTTGTTGACTGTCAAGGTCAAATATGGAATTTTAATTTAATTTTGTACAAGAAAATGATGTTTTTCTTTGAGTTATAATATATTTGTCTTAAAAATGTATAATTTTTCTTTAACTGAAGTATTTCTACAAATTGTGACAGGATTTTAGCCTCAAATCATGAATAAAGCTGATGAAAACAAATAAAATAATCTCTGGATCAGTTGATCATTGACAAAATTCTCAGGTAACTTTAAGGAAACATTATCCTTGTACAATATGATAAGATATATTAACATTTCTTGCAGACGACCATGCACTAACTACCAATAAATTGGGCGGACCTGTAGCTGTGGCCCAGGAACTAGTGCAGGACATAATTACCAAGTGCAATGATGTTGCCTACAAAGTGCAATGTTTGGAGTGTGGAATATCTATTGAAACACCTGCCATTCTCAAACATCATGCAAGAGAGACTCAGAATCAGCATGTGGTGGCTTCTCTCACAGAGACAAGCTTAGTAAGTGATTATAATGATGATAAGATTAAAGTTATTATAGGAGTATCTTGAGCCAGACCTTGTTTCTGACTCTAGAGGATTTTACTAGTCTGAGATCTCAAAATGCATGGAAGTTTTTTTGCAAAGGATTTTTATACATGGTCATTATTTGTTTCTTAAGAATGATCAATAGGAAAACAGTTTGCATAATGATGGTATTACAGATTATTTAGAGTTTCATCATTTCTGAAAAAGAGACCTTATAGCCAAGCTTAAGTTCAGAAAAAATGTCAAAAAGTCATAAACTTGTTTAAATGTTGCATACAGGTGTCTGTTAAGGCATAATACTGACCTATGTTGTCAATTGTACAGTTCCTTATAGTGCACATTACCATCATTATGTGGATCATAACATCATTTATATATTCATGAATGTGGAAAAAAATTGACATTACAAACATGCAGTTTGACTGGGGTCTTTCAAATCTGTTTGAACTAATATGACCTGACAGAAAGAAAATGATTATGTGTTTGAATGCACAGTTTTACCGAATAATGTTTTGCATTATATCCCTTATACAGAATCTCCCACTTTGTTTCAGGTTGACATATTTGCAAAATACCTTGCCGGTTTTTCTTGTAACACCTGTCATAGACTGTTTACAGGAGAATTAAAGGAGATGGCAAAACATCAATGTGCCCGAAGAGTTGTTGGAACCATTATTGAAAACAACACCTGCTCTTTTGCCGAATTTGTCAAACGCTGTGCACTCACTGTGATAAAGTCTCTTGAGCTGGAAGAGGCAGCTGGCCCCAGTCGAAACCTTCCGCCAAGTCCTGGTTATAATGCAAGAAACATACAACATGAAGCTGCTGCAGCAGAAACATCAAGCTACTATATGCGACCAAATGAAGCAAGTTCTAAAATTGAAAGTTCTGCTGACGTTGATAGTAATAATGAAAAGGGTGCAAATGGAGTGAATGAGAGCAGACCCAGAGGACGAAAGGGACCAAGAAAGACTCGTTGGGATGTTCAAATAGTTGACAATAGCAAAGGAACGGGAAAAGAAAATTGTCTAGGCTCAAATTTATCTGATTGTAATAGAGAAAATAAGGAAAATTTAGAAATAAAAAATGCAAAAGGTAATAAAATTAATAATAATGAGGAAAGTTATATTCTCATAGAAGATACTGATGACGGAAGTGATGAAACAGATGTGGATCTCCCTGCAAATAGTGGAGCTAAACGGAAAAGAAAGACAAAAAATGCAATTACAGCAAATAAAAAATGTTCATCTCCTGATAGGAAACAAAATGCAGGTAAAAAATCAATCATGGCAAGTCCATTTATTGTCATGAACTATAAGCCTCGTTCCCCTCGTCTTCAGGGAAATATCCTGACTCAAGGGTATGCTGTACAGACGTGTGAGACACGCTCATCACCAATTGAATCATTAGCTGGTAGTAACAAAGAAGCGCTGAATAAAGAAAAGCCTGTCAGTCCATCTAGATATAAGTTAAGAGCTAGAAGTGCAGACAAATCTGCTCCCAGTGCTAGTCAAGCCTCAGATGCTGGGTTTGAAAACATCGCACAGAGATTCTTGCAGGAAGAGGTTGCCCAAAGAAGTGCAAGATCAAGGCACGAAATGTTTGTAAGTATACTTTAATGATTTATCGTATATGAGGAAAGAAAGGTAAGGTTCTGTTTTAGGAATGGAAAAATATTGATAGAGCCACGTTTAATTAGCATTATCGTTATGAGTGAACTGTTTCCATTTTAATCTTGCACAAGTTTCACTTGTATATTAACACAGTGATCTAAATCAAATATCCCCTAGTATTAGAACAATAACAGGCACTCACATAATATTCGATTTGAAAATGTTGAAACCATAATTCACCACTGTTCCTTGTTAAGTACTTTATAGCAATATTGGCATTTATTCTTATCTATACTTGCCTTGAACATTTTGCTCAAAATAATGTAAGTTTCTTATTCTTTGAAAGTTCCATTACAAATTTCAATTTCGTTAACACACTGGAAATGAACTGTATTGGGGTGATACAGAATATGAGAGGTGTAGGCTATGCTGTTGTCTCTTCAAAGTAAAAGTTGTAAGAACAATTTACATTATAGCCGTTGACTCCAAATCATTTAAAGAAGATGAACAGTGGAGTCTGTGTAACAGTTGGAAGAATGTATTTTCTTAACCATTGTAGATAGATGGCTTATCAGCTAGTAAGCGGGACCGATCTTGTAGCCCTGTGAAAAGCATTGACTTTGGAAAGTACTCGAATGTCCTCACCCAAGGTCATGTTGGTCAGCCGTATCTGAACCCAGTCAAAGCTATTGATGAGATGAATGGTATTCAAACAAGACCACCATGTCCGCCACCAATGCATGGACCAACTCGCTATTTTCTTAGAAATCGATGCAGTTTTACATCGGCTGATCATCAGCTGTCCAGCACTTTCCACCGACCCAATTTTTTCCATACAGGCCACACAACCCCGGCCCCATAAACCATGCAATTTTAAAAAAATTTTCCTTTTTCGGAAAAAGGTGCAGTATCAGTTGCCCCATCAGAGCAATCAGTATTTTCGTCCAGCTGTGACGTCTGTTTCACAGCAATCTACCTTGAAATCTTCTACCTATGATCCGTCACAAGGTTGCAGCACTGATTCTACAAGTTCTGCAGGTACCTCGGTACAAGCACAGGTCCCTGCAAGACGTTCAACAGAATACTTAATTTCAACTGAACATTTGTCGGTAATGAAGAACATCGTCTTCCTGGATCTGGACAACTGGCCATCCTTCTTTCACAAGCTTCCTTTCTGCTTACCTGACTTTACTTTCGTCTGGGGCTTCTACGGCGGTAAGAATCCATGGTATGCACCAATGAGACTGGAAATCTTCCGCCAGATGAAACAAAAGGAGCAGTTTTACTTGAACGAAAGGTGTGGTACAACGAAAGATGCTGCTGACTTCGCTATAGTTTTAGCGGTATGTACGTTTTTTACATGAACATTTTTCGTATAAGACTGCGAAAACAATATAAAACATGCATTTATTTATAATATCCGCTTTTGGTTGTGCTCTTTGAATTTTAAATGAAAGCAGAAAAGTGTTTCAGTTAGTGACTAGTGAATTGATAAAATACCACGTTTTTTTTCATAAATCTTTTAATGTACATGTTTGTTTTCCCTGGTGTGAGATAAGATAATTGTTTGGGACTAATAGCTCACCTTAGCATAACAAAATGCTGAAAGGTGAGGACAATGTGTCCATTATGCGTAGTCCGTCTTTATCCACGATTTCTTTTAACAGCATCTTTTCTTAAACCACAAGGTGGATTTTGACCAAGCTTCACAGAGGCCTTTTAAAAAGTTATACAGATAGTTTTGGTCTGATGCATAATATGACTACATATATATTGATATGCAATTGAAAATGAGCATATAGCATCACCTTGTAGTCCTCTACATTTTTAGCTCGACTATTCGATAAGAATAAGTAGAGCTATTGCAGTCACCCGAGCGTAGGCGTCGGCGTCGGCGTAACCACTTATGTTAAAGTTTTTGTAATAGTTCAAATATTTTCAAAGTCCATTGACATATGGCTTTGAAACTTTGCACACTTGTTCACCATCATGACCCCAACCTGTAGACAGGAGGAGGTAACTCTATCAAGTATTTTGGCAGAATTATGCCCCTTTTTCGACTTAGAATTTACGTTAAAGTTTTTGTAATAGTTCAAATATTTTCAAAGTCCATTGACATATGGCTTTGAAACTTTGCACACTTGTTCAACATCATGACCCCAACCTGTAGACAGCAGGAGGTAACTCTATTAAGCATTTTGACAGAATTATGCCCCTTTTTCGACTTAGAATTTACGTTAAAGTTTTTGTAATAGTTCAAATATTTTCAAAGTCCATTGACATATGGCTTTGAAACTTTGCACACTTGTTCAACATCATGACCCCAACCTGTAAACAGGAGGAGGTAACTCTATTAAGCATTTTGACAGAATTATGCCCCTTTTTCGACTTAGAATTTACGTTAAAGTTTTTGTAATAGTTCAAATATTTTCAAAGTCCATTGACATATGGCTTTGAAACTTTGCACAGTTGTTCACCATCATGACCCCAACCTGTAAACAGGAGGAGGTAACTGTATCAGGCATTGTTTTTACTATCAAGCACTAAGAATAGTCGAGCATGCTGTCCTACCGACAGCTCTTGTTTTTATAAATCATGCCCTTAAGGGCATTTATCACATACCGTGCCGCTTTTGTATATGCATATATTTTGATGTCACGTCATTTGCATTACACAAACATATCGTACTAAATGTAGGCGCATCGCGCTGTTAGGCGCTTTGCGTCAATAACAAAAAAAAAAAGATTTATTTCAATATGTTGAATGTAAACGATTCTTAATATGTTGGTTATGTTATAAATAGAATATGATATTTGTGTAGATTCATTTTATAACTTATTGAACAAGTTGAATAAAATAATAGTTTGCTCGCTATAGGATCGTCTACTATAATTTTATACAACTCCTTCGATAAATTCAGTGTTGGATCTTTATGTACATCATTTAATGTCCTCTGATTATAGCATCTGGATCTGTTATATGTGTTTGACTTTCATTCGATTTACTAGAACAGGAAACACTGGCCATGTGCACCTTAAGTGAAAGTCACTCAACTGAGGGGACTCAAATACAGAGTTTCATATCAGAGTAAAATACTCTAAGTAGAAGTCTTTAATATGGCCACCATAAATAGCGATCTTTCGCCGTGTGAACACTTCTTTGGACGTTTCCCAATTCAAAATATTAACATTTTATGAAATATTGAATCCTGGCGAGCCGGAGCTAGAGAGCGCTGGTGGTAGCTTGCATATTCCATCACCGTCCATTGGCAGGTTCAACTTTGCCATGTCGGACGTTCTGTAGGGATTCTATATTTCTCTTTTTTACCACAGGTTTTTTGAAGAGCGTGTGCAATATTTTTCAGGTTGGCAAAATGGATGAGAAGTTACCAGCAAACATAGCGTTCACAATAATGTCAGGTGATAAAGGCTTCTGTGAAGTTGAACGGCAGATGCGGAATTCGGAGCGTAAGGTGATGGTAGTGAATCCACATTTAGCCGCCCGGTTTTCCAACGATATGATATATGCCCTTGTTACAAGCGTCACTGATACATAATTTATTCACAACGACACATTTCGATATCTTTCTTTAGTTTCTTTTTTCTATCTTTTCACAGTGTTCAGTTCATTTAATTTTTCAAACACTCTTTATTTATTTATTTATTTTTTTTTTTCAAAACAAATATTTTATTTTTTGTACATGTATTAAAACAGTGGACAATTCAGTATTCCAAATTTATTATGTAACTGATTTAGTGCATATAAAACTGATTATACAAGGGCAATTGACTGCCAACTATTTTGTAATAAAATTTCCCAAAATTGAAAATTCGTTCATTGTCTATTTTTTCCAACAAAGAATCTAGCATTGGCTAATGGCTGGAACGGAAGTGAGGATCGCTCTGATTTAGTATAAATGTTAGAGATACAGTTTAGGTTAGGTGATGAACGCATATTGATTTGAAACCTGTACCTGGCTTGATATACATCGAAACTATGATATCCGTCACCTGTGCATGGTATCGTTTATTTCAAAGCTAGCATTGGGTATGGCTTTTATCATGTCATTACATTGATTTGTTTTGATAAAGTGCATGCCTGATAAATTTAGCTTTATAAGTCACCCTCAGATTTTCCAGACACCTTATCGATATATATTAAAATAAAACATAGAAATTGCAATATTTTTACCTGTTATAGTTTGATTGTAAAACTGATTTGCACACTTGTTCACCATCATGACCCCAACCTGTAGACAGGAGGAGGTAACTCTATCAAGCATTTTGACAGAATTATGCCCCTTTTTCGACTTAGAATTTACGTTAAAGTTTTTGTAATAGTTCAAATATTTTTAAAGTCCATTGACATATGGCTTTGAAACTTTGCACACTTGTTCACCATCATGACCCCAACCTGTAGACAACAGGAGGAGGTAACTGTATCAAGCATTTTTTTTACTATCAAGCACTAAGAATAGTCGAGCGTTGCTGTCCTACCGACAGCTCTTGTTTAGAGTTCTTATTTTCGAAATGTGATAAATTTATAGAATATAATTTATTGAACTCGTAGACTAAAGCAATACTTGCCAGAGGCTAGCATAATATAATTTAATTCAACTTGCCCAAAAAGTTCACTTATCCAATATCATCCGTGCATTATCTTCGTAGCGTCACGTTAATCGCGTTACACAAACACTTATGGTACCGTTACTCTATGAGGCATGTCAATTGAAAATACAATGTACTAGTAGTTCTTTTTTACTCTAAACAGTTCTTATTTTGGGTATGTGGTAAAAAGAATATGTTCGTGAAGGTTCAATACCATACTTTTTATTAACTCGTTGAATGTAAAACAATATTATGAGTACCTGAGATTCGCATGGTATAATTCTATTTATTACATGCTTTTCGGTGGTTTATAGAAATATATCAGTGATATAAAACTGGTAATTTCACTGTTTGAAACAGTGAAATTACCACTTTGATAATTTCACTGTTTTGAATTTAAGCCCCTTACGTTGTTTCAGTGAAATACCAGCGTACACAGTACTGGGTACCAACTTAATGACGTGACGTCGTAAATGACGTCACGTTGTATTATTATTTGGCGCGCTTTTCATTCAGTATTAGGTTAAATGTCTTTTTAAAACGCTTCTTTGCATGTAATAAAAAGAAAATTTGTTTAGTTTAGTGTAAGATTGAAATATATTTCACCTTGTGAACACCAAAAGTTCATATTTCACTCGTGGCTGCGCCACTCGTGAAATATTCCTTTTGGTGCTCACTCGGTTAAATATATTCCGATCTTACACTGAACTAAACAAATATCCTCTATTTATTATATACTTATGAATGAAATATTGAGAAATATTGATGAAATAAAATGCGTATTCTTATTTTCCGTATTTTCACTGTAAAAATTTTTTTTCCACTGGTATTTTCCGTATTTTCACTGGTGTCTTGCCGGACTACTTTCTTCTAAATTCAGCTAATAAACAAAATTAAAAGGGAACTCTTCCTATTCATAGGCTAAATGAGGAAAAAAAGTATATGATAAACAGAAAATTCAAGTTTTTCCCTAAATACAGGATTTATTTTCATCTTGTGGTATGAAAATTAACATATTTCACTCGTGGCTACTGCCACTTGTGAAATATTTATTTTCATACCACTCGATGAAAATAAATCCTGTATTAAGAAGAAACTTGAATATCCTCTATTTAATTAATTCGTTAATAAATTTAGTATTGAACCTAACTTATTCAATTCTCTATTTTAATCGAATACACACAATATGCATCATAATTGCACACTTAAACAATTTAAGTATACAAATGTTACACTTTTTAGCTCATTTGAGCTGCATATATTTACTAATATCAAATATTTGAGAATTATAAAAACAGTGACGTACATACTCTTCTTAATTATTTTTGAATTGGGAAGTAAATGCAAGCTTATAAATACTAATCTATTAAAAGTAAGAACATGCAAATCCAGAATTTTCATGCATACCTGTTTAGTGGACGTGGGATTGTTTGATGTTATTCCTATTATAAATCACAAGCTATAGCAGCACCATATTGAGGTTATAGAGAAACAATATACATTCGAGTAAATGTATTTCCCGAATGGTGAATAAAGACCATGCACTTTCACATAAATTGACAATGTCTTCGAATTTGGATGTAAAATTAAATTTGGGTTACATGTTAAAAATGATCCTTGAAACAAATTCAGGATTCTATATCATCTTCGTCACCAGGGTGATGAAACACGATCTCATATTCATCAGGAAACGAGTCGAAAGTTAACTTGAAATAAAACTTATATTTGAATTTCAAAGGGCAAGAAATATTTGACGTCCGAAAGTCACACTCTGTCACTTTGTTTTCTTTGGCGGATACTATATTGATGAAAATCTTTGGCATATGTTTGAGAAAAGCTTCCACAGGACGCAACTTTCTCGGTGGTACATGAATGTTTTGTATGCTGGCTCGCTTTTAATCGTAGAGAGTTGGTATCATGAAGTAAGATCTAACGTCAAGAGGATCTCTGGCATAGTTTTTGTCTTTGCAGGTTGAAAGGTATACATAAATCTTTCAGTTTTCTTGTTTCCGGCCTCATGTTAATCATCAGGAGAACAACAGTTCCTATCCTTATGACAGTCAGTACATAAAATATGTTGTATTGTTTGCTTATTTTACGTACAGAGCATAATGATAGATTTTGACGAAATATACAAGTAATAATTATTGAATTTATCATTGCTATACTGGTTTTTATTTTCGATTGATATAACAGTCAATGGTTGACTTTTCATTAATTTTCTTGAATTTTTGTAAATATTTTTTTAGCTTCAAATAATGCTAAATATGCCTTGTTTTCAATTCTACGTTTCATGTGTGTTGGTGACTCTGGCACTTGAAAATAATGAAGAAAATAAATAATGAATATCAATTAATAATATAAAAAAATCTTTGCTTAGCAAGTTTAAAAAAAACGTCCTTGAATTAAATTTTGCTCTAGTATTTTTTGAGTAAAATTTTTTTTATTGAGACAGATATGGATATATTTAAATAAAAAAATAATTTCAAACACTTAAAATGATACAATTTATAAACATATGTCAACAACGCATCTGCTCATATGATGAATAAATATATACATATAAGATTTTCCGTTGTCGAAGATCTACGAATATATTCCCAATAAACCTATATAGTTATAGACTTTTTTATATACTTGATATGTTGATGTCCAGCTACTATTGGTTTCTACGGTAATTCAACGATCGGTAATACTAAAAGAAGAATAAACGAGCACGACAATATACATACTGGAACAAACGGTCACAAGCTCGAGTCAGTTTATAGTGGAAGGAATCATTATCTTCAAGCGTTCTAAGTTAAGACAAATTGGCAAACAACAATAAGGTATTATTTTATTTTTTCTTGTATTATTATTTTTTTATTCATAATTCTCACAAAACTTGAACGAAATGATACAAGTTCAATGACGACGATGCAAAGATGAGACAAAATAATAAGACAAGATATATCATTCTTCCCAATATATATAATCTTAAGATAATTGCGCTTTAATGATGTCATTTTCGTTATTTAAACATAAGACGCGCTTAATGGAAGCGTTACTCTATTGGCGGGTCAATGAAAAAAGAAAGATTTTTTTTTCACTTTAAACAGTTTTCATTTTGGGTATGCGATAAATAGAATATTATATTCGTGTAGGTTCATGACTGAATTTATTGAACGAGTTGAATCAAACAATACCATGCTTGCCAAAGGCTCGCATAATATAATTTTATTCAACTCGTTCAATAAAGCCAGTATTGAACTTACACTTATTTAATATCCGCTATAAGCTCGACTCCTATATAAAAAAAGAAAGTATTATGAAAACAAAATAAGTATCCTAAAGAAATGATTAGATTAACACAATTATTTAAAAAAAAATAGATAAATAAAAAAATCAGTGGTATTCCTTTTTAATTTCAGACATGCATCAGAATGGAAGCGTTTCTGCATACGTTGAAAAGAATGGATCCAAATATTCTGGAGCCACATTGGATACAAAGTATACAGAAGAGTACAGTGTTGAAGAAAAGCTTATATTCACACTGTTAGCCTGTATTTCACTATGCTCAACATCTACTGCCATTATTATTTTGAATCGATCGAAGAAAATACAATTTGCTTCAAAGTTTTTGACAACTGGACTGCTATCGTTTGATGCTCTTTTCATCGTATTAACAACGATAAGGAAGTTCATTACGGACCATACAGTAAGTTTAAACGTGCAAACAAGTGTTACTATTTCATTGCAACTTGCTTTTTTCACAGTTGGTCTCATGACTGTAGAACGCTATATTTTGATATTGAAACCAATGTGGTATATGAAAACTGTTTCTAGGAAGCTCATTGTAAGGTCGGTGTGCTTCATTTGGATTCTAAACATATTTCTTTCAATGAGCTTCCGATATGGCGTTTGCTATTTACAAACACGTTCAGTCTCTGTCTTTACCGAAGCAGGCACATGCAGAAAAACGAACGTCTACTTTCTACGTGATCCTACTTATGATTGTTCTCTCGATTTCGTCTTTATGCTATTTCAAAATTTTCAAATGTGTCCAGTCCAAAAATACATCAGGTAATATACTTTCGCTAACCTCAACTGCAAAAAGAATCTACAGTTATCGTTCAACATTCTTGGTGTTTATTTACCTAATTGTTATCATAGTGTCCTCTTTGGCGTACGGGATCATCATAATTCTGATTCATGTTCAAGATTTAAAGTATACACAACTCCGTCTA